GTTCATAACCTGGCTTCATGCTTGTCCTGCGACGCTCGAGGACGGATACATTTAATTGAAAATGCGTTGCACCTGTTTAGGAACGCTGTTGTAAACTACCCTACTTACCCTACTTATCCGTGGACATGTGCAACACACTGATGTTGTTTTTCATTTGGGTCGTGAAGTATGCAACCGTCCGGCAGCACATCAGAGATTCATACTTCGTTAAACGTCTCTGTGATAACCGAGTCAATAATCCAGCCTTAGTTTCAGTCGCCGACGAATCCCTCTGTGATAAAGCCGTTTGGTTGTGCACAACAGTAGGAATGTTAGAACCGTGTCTCCTCATAATGCGACCGTCTTTCCAATGGGCCGGGATTCGCTTGGCTTTTGTGAGGCCGAGCAGAGTTGTGTCAGATATTACAGTGTTTTTGCACTTACGCGGAAGGACCGTCTTTATCCGTTCTTATTTAGGTTTCTGTATTGATATTTACCTATAACTGTCATCTTTATATCCTACCAAGCATGGATAACGACGTCATTGATCCGAGTTTTGCTGATCAGCTACTGCATTACACTGTCCCCTATTGACGAATCAGTCGTTTACATCTGATAGTTTTTGAATCAGGAACATCCATAAAGTTTTTGGGAGGGCACTGCTTCAGGACTCATGCTAGACTCCCTTGGGACGTCTTCCGGTCTCTGTCGAAGTATTTCAAACTTCCTATCAGATGATCTTCATTGTATCATAAGATCCTAGTGTGGACTGGGCACCACTTGCTTACGTAACCCATCATGTGAAAAAATACAGGATAGAAGGAAGTCACTGGATGAAAGTTACGGAAAACAGCATTGTGTCTTTACCCAGGGATAAACTTCACTGAGCCCAGTTTCTTGCTCAGTATAATTAGCGATGTCATCCGGAAGAGTGTCTCGGTGAATGCATACATTAAGAAAAAAGTGCATTTTCGGCCGTAACGATGACTGCTAGAATGATAAATGGATGCAATTGCCTTGGAGGTGATGGATATCTATGAACATATGCACTGAATGATATGGGTAGTTGGCACTTTTCAAATCTGTTTAACTAACAAGACATCCCAGCTTCACTCGGCAATACTTCCTGGAAAACGATATGAGAGTCTGGTTTTGTGATTCGCGCTGTGTTTGTCTTGGAATAACTTAACAGCTCGTCTCGGTGATCCTAATCTCGTTTGACCACGGATTCCAAACCCAGATCGTCATTGTTGATGGTAGTCCCACGGACACAGCTTGAAAAATAGTCGAAATCTCCCTGTACTTTGACTTTGGGATCGTTATCTTCAGTTGTCCTGTGACTATGCCCATCTCCAAACACGTAAGGGTGAAGTTTTGAATGACGCAAGGATTGCACGGCATATTTTTAATCACTGTAAGGTAGACAATTTTTCACTGATCAAAGATCCATCTAGATCCACTTGTAAGAGGTTTCTATCCTCGGCTGTGCGAATCTATCGCCACCTGATGGCGTCCTTTGCGAACATGAGGATATAAGATTTTGTCAGGTCGTTGATGAACACTAGGAAAAGGTGATGTCTTGGAGGCAAACTTTTTGAAACTCGACAATTAAAGGAAATTGAATTGGAAAGAGCTCCATATGCTTGGACGAGCAAGTAGGGATGTTGTAGAGAGCCAGGTAATTAATCCAAGAGGGTTGATTTCGTTCTATTTTGCTGAGGCTTCTTGAGTCAGATTCCATGGTCAGTTCCATCAAAAGCAATATATAACTCCAGAGTGACCGTCTGTGATCTTTTTCCATGGGTCTTTTGTGAACATTTTGTTGGCCGTACACTGGTGTACGCGGCGAGGATCATGTTGCAATGGTGATAGGATGCATTCCGCATCCTAATACGTTCTGACCGAATTTTTCGAAGAGTTCTTTTTGCCCAACCACATGAAGGGTGGAAACGAGTCAGAGGAGGTTAAACAATGATTTGGCAGCAAAGTATAAAAGCCCTTACCAGCAGACTCAGTTGCGCTGGTCATTGCCGTCTTCCTGGATGGGGACATCGAGACGGTTCATATCAATGTTAGAGGACATTGTCAGACATGGCCCAGTCGCGCCCTCAATGACATTCATGCATCTAAGCTATTGCCTTCAATGCATAACTTCTTTTCCAATCTCCCCACCTGACATCCTTTCCAAATAATCGGTGAATGAAACTGTGGCAGGTACGACCACTGTACGACAAGTACGCGGTGCTTACAGCTGCTAACGGTAATGATGATTCTATTATACTCAACAAAACAGAGGGGAAAGCCACTGGTCTATACTTTACTGGACTGGAATGGTTTCCTGCTTTTGATATCGGCGTGATTATTCTATTACGAAATCATCAGTATGGTTCCGTGATCAAACTTTTTTGGGACCATTCGACCAATGGCCACGGTAATTTCGCCAAAATTGACGAGTGACGATTGGTAATCTCCAGAGCCTTTGGTTCTCTGGGTTCTCAGCTCCATTCAGACTTTTCTAGCTCACAAAAGGGGGTATCAAAATGATCGTGTACGCTTAATTCGAACTATATATCGGTTGTAACCTGGTGAAAAATTGCGACGTAATACTTCCTGAGGACATTCACAGCTTCCAACGGAGCGCAAGCGATACCATTGTCTGCTTTTCACGGTAAAACTCAGTATTTATCTTTTGATCACTGGGGTTTTCCGGAAATTTGGTCGTGAGTTCCTGTTGTTAGGTTCGTTCGGCGGTTCTATCGAAGTCGGTTCAATAACTTGGAAGGCTACGTAGTCTGTCGTGGACGATACACACAGGTAACGGTACCAAGCATAATTCTTCTGAAGTGGTCGGTTTGCTCTGGATGAATCCAGTGAGTCTACTGGTGATTTCTGATTTGGCTTCGCATGTGGCAGCTATCAGCCCACGTATTCGACCACCAAATTATGCCCAGACCTCATTGGGAATGAGGTTGTGTACGATCAAGTTATGATCAGCACTACATATCAGTACAACCCAGGTAACTATGCTGTCACATAATGTTCTAACATTTACACACAATTTTTGGTGCTTTACTGGCAACAGCGCGATCCTGATGTTTACTTTGGGAAGTTCCGTGGATGACAAGCACCAGGTTAGGTTCAACTGTACTTCAAAGAGGTGCACTCTTTGGTAAAACTGGACAACCTGGATACTTCTGTTCAAGGATTGTGCAACAACAGCGTGCAACTTTCACGTGTCATGTTCTTGTCACATCCGTTGATAATGAGAAGTGCTGATCAGAAGTGTAGACAGCCGGCAAAGTCATACAGAACATGGTAATCTGGTCTGTGTGTTGAGTGGTGCTCAGTGGTGTGTCGCCGATCCGTTGCACGGTGGAACGTGATCGATAGTCGCTCATTCCATGCATTCGAGACGAACTTACCACTGACTCATCTCGGAAACATGAACCGGGAACAGCCTAATTCAGATTTCCATGTTTACAAAAGATAGCCCCGTTCTGCTAAGGTGAGCTTTGTTCAATACCAGTTTCCCACCTCGGAAACTCCCGGTCAGTTTCCCCTGGGGCTGAAGAGACAAGAAAGCCGGTCAAGGTCAGCATGCATGATTTGGCAGGCTGATTCCTTCGCATATCTTCTGACTGAGAGTTCCCATTGGCGAACTACGCACTCGGTGCTTCCTCGTACACACAATTTGAATCTCTTCCAACCGGGGTAGTAAAATACAGGACCCAAATTTTATTCAAGGGTGAATATTTTTCCCAGTTAAGATCACACCAATGAACTCACTTTTCCAGACTGTATTTCGGAGCTCAGTTTATTAGCTATTCGAATCCCGGGTCTCTATTTTTTCTAGGGGATCAGGTAGCAGGGAGAAAGATTAAGGGGTGGTATGCACGGAAGCAGCTACTGGTAGCAGTTTGTGGACAGCAAACATTCCGGACAACGTTGAAGCCGGTTTATTTGAATCCAAGGAAAAGTTTACCGAAAGAAAGTCATTCTGTGTCGAACATGACTGGCACGGGGGGCGAGATGGCGCGAATTTACTGACCGGACGGTCCTAGGTTCGATCCCGACCTCTGTCTATCGACTTCCCCTGTTTAGGCTTGGGCAACCTGGCAGTACCTCAGCCCTTGTGCTTCCTTCGGGTGGTATGGCAGCTAAGCATCGAATTTTTCTTTCTCTCGATATTTGAGAAGTTTTCTGTCTGAGAAATCTCCCAATAGCTTTTGTGGATAACAGCTGCTTTTTTGCAGCCACAGGTTGAGTCTCACTCCGAAGTCAATCGGTACCAAACAGCTCTTCCCCATTCAACTCATTGGTGCCACGGAGTGATCGGATTCGTCCCTAATATGACTCTGCGGCACATGGGCATATTATTCATAGTAAATTGACTTGAATGAGTCTGATTCAACATCGGAATTCGTATACTACCCAGTTTTACTTAGGTGATCTACCGAACCACAAACCACACCGTCCATCTCATTGGTGATCTAACGAATGCAATGTTAGGCCGAGTGGGATCATCTCAGTACAGAATTGAGAAAGACTAAAAGTGGTTCAATGGTAATTCAGGGACTGATTCGGGGTAATTTTCGAAACGATACCGTTTTGCCTAAGGGGGGTACATACATTAACCATGGGTTGAGAAATTGGTGCATTGATTTGACATCATTGTATGAAATCGTCAAGCTTAATTGAAGTTTTTGCAACGTATAATAGCAGTAAAATTATGGGTATACCAGAAAAGTGGACAAACTCTAATTGGTGGGCTGCGGTTCTATGGTTTTGCCATGGGGTCACGTGCCAATCAATACGATAAGTCTTGTTTTCAAAAGTCCTGCTTGCCAGCACATAAACGCAATTGGAGGGAAATGTTGAACGCGTGGGAGACTTCACAATCAAATAAAGCCTATCCTAATGAACGATCGGAATCAAGCAGGGCGCGACCTGTTAGCCAGGGATCTAATTTCAGCCACAGCGATACTGTCACTAATGCATCGCATATTATTACGTTGCCGTACATGGCAAGCACACGCCTGTATAAAAATAATACGGAAAGCAACGCCAGACTCCCGACTATGTCAACTTCGAAAAGATCTGCAAGTTGTTCTCCTGCTTGGAGGTCACAATGTAGTAGGTCGAAAGGGAAGTCTGTAAAATACTTGAGAGATACTGGTGGAACGACACCGTACTCGGGGAGTCGCTCTGAAAACGATAAACCACAAGGGGAATCTTACGAAAAAGTTATGGGACGTATAACTGACCTTCCGTTCATGGTCAATTTGAAAAGATCGGGCGGTTCTGTTCCCGCTAAAGGGTTACCTAATACAAAATCAGAAAGCGGAGCCATGGCAACTCCAAAAAGTGGTTATCGAAGAGAGATAACACGATCAACTAGCTTCTCTTCCATGCATAAATTACAGCATGTCGATTCCAAATCGGCAAGTCCAAAACCTACGCCACATATTGGTCACAAGGATCGAATGGGGAAGGATAAAAAATCGAAGAATGATTTGTCACGTACCAGCCAAGCTATAAAACTTCCCGGATATGGTGAGAATGATCTGAGCATACACAGATCAGAAAGAGTACCTCCTGGTTGTGTACTTCTTGACTTGAAATCGGAACAAGAATCACTGACGACTTCCAGATTTGATAGTGACAGATATATACAAGGGCAGGAAGTACTCAAGAAGATGAACTCCTCGCCTGTTGAGCCTGGCGGTGTGGATACAAACAACCAGATTAGTGAAGACAGTACGACTCTGTCGGTTATATCCAGCTCGGAAATGTGCTTTCCTGAGTGTACACCACCAGAAAAGAAACTGGATTGGGAAATTGGAGTCCCTTTATTAGGAATCGGATGTGAACAAGTATATCGCAACGGTCTAAATGAAGAGATAATCATACCGATGTCCGATGCTCCTATCCCCAGGTTGTCAACTGGTGAGCCTAGGATGAGCAGTAATCAGAAGGGCACAACACAGACGGATGGAAAGTTGGGGAACGATTTATCACATACCAGTCAAGTTGTACAAGGTCCCGGACACAGCAAGAATGACCTGACCATGTACAGATCAGAAAGGGTACCAAGTTCATCTTCCGGCTATGTACTCCTTGACCTGAATTCAGGACGCGAAATGCTGGTGACTCCCATATGTGACCACGACGGGAACGCAAAACGACAGGGCTCGTCCGAAAAGAATAACTCCCCTCCTGTTGATCCTGGATCCGCTTATCCATGCAAACACGATAAGCCGAAGAATGAGGTCACGACGGGTTCAAGGAGAACGAACGAAATGAACAATAAACCAGTGAGCAAGAAGACAACTCCAATGCCATTGGATGCTGCAGAAAGCAAAAAACTTCAATCCACAAGTCTCCCAAGGACGTTCGATGCGACTGGAAAATCGGGATGCTACCTTCCGGGAGGTTTGAAGTTTGTTGATGAGATAAAGCGGAATCCTGAGGCAAGGGATGAAAAAGCTGACCAAGCAAACGCCGAAACGCACCCATCCGATCACAACACTGAGGAAAGCACAAGTACCTCAACGTTACCTACCTCGGAGAGATCAACGGGTGATCCGGTTTTTTACGTGCTGTCGGACAACACGTTTGATGAAAGTCCACATATAACCAGCAAGATAAAAGTGCAGCTGGAGGATACCAGTAAAACGAATATGGAAACTACCGAGCAAACTTCACAAGTGCCCAGGATATTGTACTCAGAAACCGTGTCAGATTCACCAGTTTGTTACTGTTTGTTGGCGGACAACTCGATGGGTAACCTCCGGAAAGTTTTGTTGAGTGAACTGGCGGCGACTCTGATTCAGTCAAAAGAAGACAATGCATGGAAGATTGAGCAGGGCATCGAGAGCGAACAGAGCCCTACTTCATGGTATGATTGGGGGGATTTGAGTCCATTGATTACTCCAACATCGATCCGCTTGGAACCGACACCGCACTTGGGAGATGACACCACCAGATTGAGTTGTACGTCAGATGTTGAAACTCTATCCCCCCAAGTGATGGCAACGGGTCCTCTGCAAGTGAAAAAGAAGAATTCCTGTGAAAGGGAGGATAGAGGCGATCAAGATGAGAGAAAGTCATTCCATGATCGCTCTTCAAAGCAGCTTCTTAGAGCGATTGAGAAATCCCCAATTCCTATTGCTCTTTCCTCCATCGAGGGTCCATCAGACACTGAGTTAAAACTGCCGAGTTTTGAGACAAAAGAGGAGACGAATACTGAGGTTCTCAAGACAGTTAATCTCCAGAGTAGCTCACCTGTCCGCTATATTTGTAGTAATACCAAGACTATGGAGGCCGCGCAGCGAATCCGGCCGGAATCTGGTGGCACAGAAACTCCGAAAATCAATGTGGAAAAGGAGCGACGAATAGAAGAAAAAGAGGAATCAAAGAAACCGGCAAATATCGTTTATTCATCTGACCAAAACGAAACATTTAGTCCGGAAGACGAAAAGGTACCCGAGAACGCACTGCGAAAACTGTCAATAGGTGCACAAGAGTATTAGATCAAAAGAAGAATTCCTGTGAAAGGGAGGATAGAGGCGATCAAGATGAGAGAAAGTCATTCCATGATCGCTCTTCAAAGCAGCTTCTTAGAGCGATTGAGAAATCCCCAATTCCTATTGCTCTTTCCTCCATCGAGGGTCCATCAGACACTGAGTTAAAACTGCCGAGTTTTGAGACAAAAGAGGAGACGAATACTGAGGTTCTCAAGACAGTTAATCTCCAGAGTAGCTCACCTGTCCGCTATATTTGTAGTAATACCAAGACTATGGAGGCCGCGCAGCGAATCCGGCCGGAATCTGGTGGCACAGAAACTCCGAAAATCAATGTGGAAAAGGAGCGACGAATAGAAGAAAAAGAGGAATCAAAGAAACCGGCAAATATCGTTTATTCATCTGACCAAAACGAAACATTTAGTCCGGAAGACGAAAAGGTACCCGAGAACGCACTGCGAAAACTGTCAATAGGTGCACAAGAGAAGTTATTAGATCACAATGAACCGAAGAGCGATGCTGCACAGGGAACAGGACTGAAAGTGGATGCAGAGACACAAACTCCTTGTCCAGAAAACAATGCAACAAACTGCCTTGAGGGACACATCAGAATAAGGGCAAAAATGCGTGTAAGAAAAAGAAACTGCAATAGACAAAAAGGCGACGGAAGGCGAACGCACACGGATTCGACCGATGATAGAGGAAAACAGGGATTGCACATAAATTCAGCAACAACAAGAATGAAGGATACGAAGGGGGATGATCACCACCAAGAAGACAGACAATCGATATTCGAAGAGGAACCTGAGCAGGAAAGTGTGACTTCAAACGTCATACTAAATCAAGCGCAAGAGGGACCGCTCAGACAGGAAGTTCATGAAGTACTTTTTCAGAAAGCCTCGGCGACACTCTGGGGCGTGGAAAACGTGTCAAAGTATGCTAGAAAGCCGATTGAACGGACGGATCCAGTGGTAGTCGCCTCACGGTCAGCACTGGATGTGACGGAAGCCGAGCTCATGGATGACTTGGTAGGGCAGCTGCGCTGTTTGGAAATGGTGTCGCCTAACGCACCCGAATGGGATCAGTCAGATATGCAAGCAGAGAGTTCAACTGCGGGTTCCAACGGGTGGGAAACGCCAGCGGACTTTCGCGAAGCATTCAGTTCAGACATAGAGCGATGTCTGATGGGCTGTAAACCCATAGATTCTCCAGCCATTAGTGAGGTTCGTACAGAAGTCTCGACACAAACATTACCTACTATAGGTGCTCCAATGAATCAATCGGAATCGGAAGACAATGAACCAGAAACGTCTTCAGATTGCAAATGGGACGAGGTTACCCAACCGATATCTATGACTGGACGCGTAGGATCAGTGAGCTCATCGATCGCCCTACTCAGAATATCAAGGATTTCACAGTTTAAAAAGGATTACAGAGAAACTATGGGCTTCAGTGGTTGTCGCGAAGCCGTAAAATTAAAGTCTATTTCGGACTCGGAGCAGAAAGAAGCGAACGTTGATCTGCCAAAAACGACGGAACTGTTTGCAACAGAATTACTTCCTGCAGTAGAATTGGGTCAGTCAGACACGCACACAAAGAGTTCTTCGGTGAACTTGAGTGGGCGGGGAACACCTCAGAAAAGTCTCCGCGTCTACAATGAGCACCTGTCGGATGCATTCGCTACCAGTAAGGTTGATGCAACATCGTCGACGCGAATATTACCTTCTTTCAGCACACCGATACTGAATACCAATACAGCTATATCTGAAACAGAAACAAAAAGACTGACTTCATTTCTGGGTATCGAAAGAAAGGACTTTACTCAACGGATATCCACAACAAGAGGTGAAATAATATCAGCAACATCAACCACTTCACCTGTGTCACAGTCTAAACGAAGTAATGGAAAAAGTACTCGGGTCGTGGGCGCCCATCTGGCAACCGAACTGAGGTGTGTGATGGACTTAGAACATGTCGATTCAGGGATTGACCTACCAGAAACGATGGAATTTCCAGAAACCGAATTGTTTGCCGAACCAGAACCAGATCACTCGGAAGTATGTGCAGAAAATTCCACTGCAGTCTCAAGCCAATGGAGCCCACGAATTGACTGTCACAAAAGATTTGATCTCTACGCGGAGTCTGTAGCTGTGAAAGATAAACCAGTAGATACCATGACAACATTGCGCATGCCGCCTCCTATTAGCAGTCCTTTGCTCAGGACCACCTCAATTCCACTGGAACACGATGCCAGTAAACCAGCCACATCTGCAATCAGAGACAGGAAGGAAGTTACTGAACAGATGCTCATAAACAGAGGCGAAAGTTCAATGGAGCGATCGGTTGTGCTACTCAACGCATCACCCATACTTTGGTCTACGCGAGGCAACAAAGATATCAGTGGTTTTCACTTGGCAGTTGAATCGAAATCCATGTTGTACTTGGAACATGTCGAACCCGGGGTGGACCCACCAGAAGCAGTGAGGTTGTTGGAAACGGAGTTGCTCGCCGGGTCAGAGCGAGACGAATCAGACACGTACAACGAAAATTCATGGAGCAGTGATGAATTGGATATTGAAGAGGAATCTCCAACTATCTCACTCTCGGGATCGGATGATATTGCATGTTTCAGTAGTGTGAAACACGATGAAATGGCATCGCCGTCACAACCCAATGTAAAATCATCCAGGGCTTCTTCACAAATGGGTGACACTCATAAAAAGGCGCCCAGTTTCACGTCAATAGCTACTTCACCAAAGGACCCTGTAACGTTTTTGCCATGTTTACCACATTCGCTGAGGTCTTCGACCCGTGTAGAACAACAGATCCAGATGACAAACATGTGTGCTGCGGATTCAGTTCATTGGAACCGCATGGGCGCAAGAGCACAGTCATCTGTCTCATTAAGCGCAGCCTCCTCGATATTCAGTCCACCTTGGCACAAAAAATCCACTTTTTTCGTATCACCTGAGACTAACTCTAGCCATTTTCCGAGCAGCACATCGTGTTCTTGTCCTCGTTCTATTGTTAGAGCAACAAAACTGAGGGCCTATCCAACGGCGTTTTTGACATTAGTTGCGCCATGCCCAATCTATTATCAGATCCCCGTGGTGGTAGCTGTTCCTCGGTTTTTTATATATTCGTCCACTTCTCCCCAAGCACTTGCAGCAGATGCCCGGAGTGCAACGGAAATTGTCAGTGTTTCTCCCCACAGGAACGTCAATGAGCAATACGATGACACCTCTTGCTCTCCAGCAATCTATCTTGGTGTTTCTCCGTCAGATACCAGACCAAGAAGTAGTTCGTCATTACCATCATCGCTGGACAAAAGTTCTGTTCCTTCCTCTAAAACTTCAACGGTACCACAACTGGCTGGATTAGAAAAAAGCTCTAGCATGTACCGCCCGTACTCGCTTTCTGCGGAGACTTCGCCGGGTCTCAGTTACGGCCGGCCACTATTCCTCAGTTCAGCCGTTGGTAAGTCATCTGTTTCGAAGCGAACAAGCATGGATGACTTGCATGCCCGTTTAAGTAAAACTCCAAAACATTATTCCTCACGTGACCTGGTGGTTTCGCCCACCGCCACACCAATGCATGGTGTCCAGGTCCGGGCCAATCAGGATGCGAAAACTTTTTTGATTCGGCATTCAGTCAGAGTGTCTCAGAATACTCCGGTCCAAACTAATGAAGAGCGTGAAAACTCAGCGACATTTACTTTTTTGGATTCTGTGCCTCCCAGTTATTCTGCACCTTATTATTACGCATATGAATCATATTCGTCAACAACAGATGATGTACCTTCACTGAAGACTGACTTTGCTTCTACTGACGGACCTAGAGAGGGGCGTGTCTCTCCAGCGACCTTTGAACATGGTGTGGAGGAAAGTATGTCAACAGTTGTGTGCCAGTGGTCCAGAGATATGCCACACAGCATTCGTGCCTCGCTAACCTACACCCAGAGGGTTCACGATCTGGTCACAGTATTGCACCCAGAAGTGGACAGCCCTTTGCTTGAGCACCAGTTGTGTGAATCAGGGTCTACCCTTGAAACTTCTGCTACAGAGTCATTCTCAAATTTGCCTGAAAAGCTGGCATCAGACTTACAGAGATCAGTCAAAGATACTATAGTTGTCTCATCATATATATCCGAACAACCTGTTCAAATATCTGGATCTGTTGAGTACCATTGGCCTCTAAAAGAGACTGCGTTTTCGTCACGTGAGTATCAACATCTTGGTTCAACACGTCCATCTGTTTTCTCTTCTTTTCGTTTACCTCTCTTGCATCTTCCCACAATCAGTTCAAAATCTTGCACGCAGGATAACTTTCCTGACCAAGACTCTTGGACCTCGGAACCGTTGGCCACTCAACTCGGAGAAACTCCAATACGCCTTAACAGGTCTTCATTGGCTACCGGGCCACCATCAAATAGTCCACATGCAATGGAGTCGAAATCCACAGGTGTAAACTGGGACACCACTCAACTTGAAGGAACTCCAATACGCCTTAACAGGTCTTCATTGGCTACCGGGCCACCATCAAATAGTCCACATGCAACGGAGTCGAAATCCACAGGTGTAAACTGGGACACCACTCAACTTGAAGGAACTCCAATACGCCTTAACAGGTCTTCATTGGCTACCGGGCCACCATCAAATAGTCCACATGCAATGGAGTCGAAATCCACAGGTGTAAACTGGGACACCACTCAACTTGAAGGAACACCAATACGCCTTAACAGGTCTTCATTGGCTACCGGGCCACCATCAAATAGTCCGCATGCAATGGAGTCGAAATCCACTGGTGCAAGCTGGGACAGTCGTAGACAGTCAAGTTCTTCTCTGAAAGAGCTGCGGAAAGTTCAACTTTCTGAAGTTCGGGGACATGATTTGCCTTACAGAATATCGTCATCAGGAAGCCTTTCAACGAAACCTTCTGTTAGCGACTATTCCGAACATCGCGAAGGGTCTCACGAAAAGTTGGTTCACCCATTTGAGAAGGAGCTTCCTCTTTCTGGCGATAGAAGAAGTTCGTGTTCCGTTCGCAGACGCACAACACACGATTCGGATGTTCGAAAGGACCTACGGCGTTGTCAGTGCTGCAGGTTGCAATGTAAACGTTGCACAAGGAAACCAACTCATTGTGAGTGTGTTTTGAAAAGGTCATGTCACTGTCCTTCAAGAGACGTGTGCAGAAGACGAAGCTATCTCGGCTGTCTTACAGAATCCTGTCCACACACAAGGTCAAGGTGTATTCTGGGTGCATTCACGCCAAACTTCGGCTGTCTGTCTCTTGAGCGAACTCGATTAATCTCCGTTTCCAATTATACCAGAAACATAGGTTTTATCTGTTCAGCACCGTGCCTTGATCAAGACTTTGGATTTCATGCAGTGCAGACACGAGAAACAGAACCTGTCTATGTGCGTTGCCAAACAGTCAACAAGATTCTTTGTACACATGGTTGTGGGAGAACAAATATACCCCGGCACCACATGTGCTACTTTGGGAAATAACCAAATTTGGGTTGTGGGAAGAGAGCCACATGGCACAGTTGAGGTCGTATGTGAAAGAAAGGAGAGAAAGAAAAAATGGAGGAATCATGAGGTAGGCCCAGACGAGGTAGAAAGATTCACCTCACAATGATGCGTGTGTCGAATGGGAGAGGGATTACGCCTGCTAGGGGGATGGGTGGCATCATCTACCTGCTCGTTATTTCCAGATAGGACGATACTACTCGAAATAGGTCAGTAGCCTAAGCTTGTCGCGTATTTCATGCTCTCACCGGGAGAACGCCGGACGTCTGTTGATATCACTAGGCCTATTTCCCTTTAGTCAATCTAAGCCCGTCGAACCAGTACGGCTTTCAAAATGGTAGGTGTTCTAGAGTATTTGCATTTCCTTAAGTTATCCCAAACGGACAGTATCGTTTAGTGAATGTTGTGTCCAGTGAGAATGAGAATCTCCATACAGTCCGAAGATCATTGTATTCGTGAGTTCACATAGCCCCCCCCGATTTAATGTGTCATCATCATCGACAGCACGACATCAGTGTTCAACACCAAAGCTCCACTGCCGTACAACCATGATTTCTTCGAAAGCCTTATTGTAAAGAAAAGAGTAAAGGTGAACGGGGAAGGGACGAGGTGCTTATATCTCCAGACATTCACTCAGGCGATCTGGACAATAAGAATGCCACTGACATCAGTTGGTGTGGTTTTAATGACCTACCAAACAAATGTCCGGGATGAATTTGACCTCAAACGTTCCCGCAATCTGAATGTGAACCTACCTTTGGTGCTCACAACCCTGGCGACTACCCAACCTCTTTAAGTGTGAGATTTCATGAAGACGACTAAGTTATCACAGTTTATCGATTTTCTTGTTGTTTACCCATTCACAGTACTGGCCGACGCTGTTGTTATCTCGGTCAATCCTCTCGTGTGTGCCACAAGGCGACTTCGGTACTCTAGTTCTTTATTCGGCATAACAGACTCGGTATTGGTCACCTTTGGGAACATTCACAACGAGGAGATTGTTCAGCGGAACGTTTCGTGCTATTGGGTTAGTGTACGAGGTGTTCTGGTAGTTACTTGTAGGGAGATGGGGCCGGTTAGTGAGAAGAACACTCTCCCAAAATTCCATGGCAGGTAGACTACTGTTTCGTATTTTTTCAGAATGGACACATTTGTGATAAAAATCAATCGGATTAGAATTTAACTTTACTGATAAAAGCGCCTAACTTCACCCACATTTGGATTGTAGTTGCTCAGTAGTTATTATAGTTACCATGGTTACTCACTTTATATTAAGTATAAAAAGTGAGATGAACATGTTAGGTTTTTCGATGCGAATAAGTAGTGTGCACGGCTTCCTTAAGTCCAGTAACAACCACCACGATATGGTTGGCAAATCTTCAGTAGATATCTGTTTCCCACGTCGGGCGTGATCACAAATGTTTGTTTCATCTAATGTTGGTGCGAACGATCGAGTTCAGTTAGCACATGCGATGGGTGAGCGGTGTGCGGTATTTAGACATCACGTTGAACTAGACCAATGAGTATCTAGGGCGGATGGGCAAAATGACCTACAAACTAAGTAGCACACAAGTTTGGTGGAAGCTCGGAGGCTATTCCTAACTGATCGACTCAGAGAAGGACAGTAGTGGGCTGTCGAAGCTTATTTGGTAGTAAGTTACGTCAAGGCACAAAAAACGGCATCATAAAGTTGACAGAAACTCGGGGACTGCGCCTACCTGATGAGCCCCAAGAAGGGTGAAACCGGTCGTGGACTGTCGAAGAGTTTTCAGCAACCTTGTGAGTAGTTTCCTTTATGAAAACGGCATGCCGTTTTGCTGATACTTCGTCGCACCTGAACCTATTTATTGGTTTTTCCCACTCGTGATAGCACGTGATCATTTTCGTTCCAAATTCAGTAGCGAAACCAGATAATTAGGTCTCATTAAACAGTGAATTAATGTTTGCCTAGTTGGGGATGAAAATGGATGTTTTATTGCCCGAAATTGCTCACCAGTGCTGTCACTATGGGCCAAGTGAGACGGAACTCAACAACTGTGAGCCGTATGTGTTTTGTTCGAGTGCTGTTGGCGATGGATCCACACAGAAATGAATTGGGCGGGGGGAGGGGGTGGTCTATAGATTTCTGCCAAAGAAAACTAGTTTCTCGCAGTTCTAAGCCTGTGGCGATACTTGAAATGAGGGTGTGGTCAAGTGTAAACGAGATCGCGACTGCTCAGATTATCGTGCATTGATGATTGCTGCCTCTGGTCCATGTATAGACCTGCCACTAAATTTCTTTGGTTTAGCTATCCATTTCCGAGTCGATAACCATGTGATCAGATAGATATGCGTTTATTGTAAAATGTTCATGGATTTTAATACTGTGTCGTAGAAGGAGGTCTACAGCTTTCGAGACAGACCCACATAAAATCCAGCATCAACGGTTCTATCGTTATTAGAGGGTTATGAGAAGGTCTTACATATAGCTGATGTTGCAGGAAGCTCCGAAACACTTGCGTGGTTCACCTTGTGCAGGTAGACACAACCCTAATACACAAGATCTGTTAGTTTACGAGTACGAATCGTACTTAGCAGCAACAGTCCGAACAGCAGATAATCATGATCGTGATCTTATTCGCGTCCCCATAAGAGGCGAGGTGGTTCTGGTAGTCTCAACAACGGGTGGTGACAGGGTGTTTTGGTTTGTAGCTTTCTTCTGACTGAGGTTGGATTCTTAACCAAGAACTGCTTTAGCACAGTATTTCAAGTTTTATCGCAGTCGATGGCCTTGTTTTCGCGTAACTTGAAATGGCTTCATCGTTATATCATGCAATTTCCAACTGAGCCTCGAAAGAGTGGATAGCTTAGTATTAAGTGATTGCTCTGCTAAGGCCTGAGTAGAGCCGATTCGTTCTGGTCCGATCATTGCATGACATACTCATTCTTCCTAAACGAGGGATTCAGCCGGATTCAGTTGTATCGCCAAGTCGGTATGCAAATAAGTGCATTTTGGGAATTGTGTCCAATCAGGATTCAAGCAGAACATTAGGCTGACGGAAACTCGGGGACTGCGCCTACCTAATAAGTCTAAAGTGAAGGGCGAAATCTCCTGTGGGCTGTTGAAGAGGTTTCAGCAACCCTATGAGTAGTGTATTCCATCCAGGAATGTTTGACAATCAGGAACATAACAGATTTCGTATACAGAATCGCCTCTCTAGTGTGGCCTAAAAAACTTGTGTGAATAGAGTCGTAGTAAAGAGCGGAGAACAGCCTATGGACCTGCACACGATCATACTAAAAAGGGACAATTTAGAGGACTATAGTTAGATGGAGGGGCTGCTGTAACAAGAATCCATTTCCAGTGGAAATCGATCAAATAAGTACTGGTCGTGAGCGTACAAGTTTGATCAGCCTAGACAGCACAAAAGTTCTCACTTGTGGCTGCTCTTATCAGACATCTTGATGGCGGTTTCATCACAACGATTCTAAATCAGTTTGTCATCAAACTGTCCGATGAATGAGACGCATATTTTTCAATTGCTTTATAACTTCTTAATTTGTGTGATGTGGAAACTTGGCTCTCTCGAAACGACGGAAAAACGTCGCCATCACAGTACCGTATTTTCTAGAATCCCATCCGAAACTGCATAACCATCCAAATGATCACAAGAAAAAGCAAGACATCAACCAAAAGAATCGCTTTACACAACACGTAACACAAAAGACAAATACGCTTGCTTTTTATACATACAAAAACAGTCCGAATTGTCGTTATCGTTCGAATTCGAAATCAACCAACGCTGTTATTTTGGGGGGTGTATACGGCAAAGCTTTTGAACAACAACATATTAACACCACAAATTTAGCAGGTAACATGAATCTTGCAATCGTTTTTTTCCTCAGACGAAGTGATCTCATGCCAGTTTGAATGCTGACGACAAAGAATAGATGCATCACTATGTGCTCACTCTTGAAACAAGTGGGAACTGCGATTAGAGATAGAATTTAAGATGCAGAGAACGGACAATTCTCACAATATGATCAGAATTGGTGAATCGTTAGTTTAACCTTTGCAAAACAGGACAAGTAAATGGTATAACACAGACATGCGGGGTTGGAAGAATAAGAGAATCGATTTCGTTGGAAAAGGGGGTCTGAGAAGCTGAGTCCCAGATGTCTGCGGCCAGAGGTGATGAAGGATGGGGTTCAGAGGATGATATCATCTGTCTACCAAACGGAACATTTCGTTTTGGGATTCATATAGGAACCAGATGGACAGTTATAGACCCGAGCAAAGTCTTCAGAATTCATCAGGGTACCAATTACTCTGCAGAAGGGAAGAAGAGTGCGGAACAATGGTGCATGGAACATTCAGCATGAAATGCTTAGGTTCAGCTGAACTCAGCTGGTTATCTTAGAAGGCATATGTATTAGGTAGCTTCGGTAAAGATACCTCCACTTGTTTTCAAAATAAAGTGAATAGCACTTCTGCTCAGCACATGAACATCAACTACTGAGTCTTTTATTACCGTCCGATATTCATCTACGTTTCTTGGTTGTCTGTCTACGCCCTACTTGTGTTGATCAATTCTGGCGGGCAGTTCCTCAAGTGCTTGTTCTACACAAGCTTTTATGCAATCATTGCATCACCTTGTTTACACAGTCCTGAATTCTATCGTACCAATACTGAGCGCAGATGCTACTCTGATTTTGGTTGTATTTAGGGCCTTTTTAACAGCTCTAGGCGTAATACACTACTCATAAGGTTGCTGAAAATTCTTGGACACTCTGTGACTGGTTTTGCCCTTCTTGGGGCTCATCAGGTAGGCGCAGTCCACGAGTTTCCGTCTACCTTTCGTTCTGTTTGAGTCTAAATTGGACAAAATTAGCGAAATACACGCATTTGCTCATCAGTTTGGTTTTGACGGGCGACTCACCTGGAATCCAGCTGATTTCCTCGTTTATGATGTTTTTAAGCAACTGAATATGCTGCACCAGGCCGTTTCATGTTTCAGTTGGCACGATATTCGAGATGTCATCATAAAAGAGAGATTCAGCTGGGTTCCGGGTGAGTCTCTCCTCAAAACCATATCGGTATGCAAATGGGTGTATTTCGCTAGCCTCAGATTTCCTTTTTATGGATAACTACGTAATCCTTACCTGGTCTGACGAAGCTTCTGTGTCAGAGATGGGAAGTTGCTCAGTAGTAAAGTCACCGGCTTTCCGGAAATGAGTGTATTTCTCGAAAACAGTCCAATTTGGGTTCAAGTAGAACATATGGTTGATTGAAACTCGGGGACTGCGCCTACTTGCTGAGCCCCAAGGAGGGCGAAACCGGTCGTGAGCTGTCGAAGGGTTTTCAGCAACCGTGTGAGTAGTTTCCATTATAAAAAATCTGTTTAACAAACATTTCTGAAACGATGACTTCTCGGTCGGGTTCAAACTAGACCTGAGTGACTGATTTAAATTGCTTCAGTGGCAGCCGGCAACATTACGACTAAATAAAGCCTGTTACGGACATCAAGCAAGCGGTAAACCTACGTGAAAGTTTTTCCGATTCCATTAGAATCTTCGCGCAAAATAGAACGCATTGATACACACATACCTAAGCTTGATCTAGCAAATATAACCTTACCCTAATCGAATTTGGACAACTATACTGTAGATTTGTATATGTCCGGAAAAATCAGATCTGCGGATGGCGACTGTTCTGTCACTCAGTCAACTACCAGAAAAAGGAAGGATGCAGAAAGAAGCTAAGTTATAGGACAGCTGGTCTGGAAAATTATTGCGATGGAGAGCTATCGTCCATAAAGGACTGCGTGCATCTTCGACTTGACATGGAATGTTTTAGGCGAGGCAGTAGTGTAATTTCTCCGTGGTGCCCCAGATTACCACTGAATCAGTCATATGAACAACGTTGGAGGTACTACTCATAAGGTCGCTGAAAATGCGTCGGCAGCCCACGACCGGTTTCGTCCTTTATGGGGCTCATCAAGTAGGCGCAGTCCCCAAGTTTCCGTCAACCTTATGTCCTACGTGAAACCTAACTGCACGAAATTAGCGAATATACACTCATTTGCAAACTAATTTGGTTTTTCGAGAGACTCACCTGGAACCCAGCCGAATATCTCGTTTGTGATGTTTTCAGGGGACTGTGTCTACCTGATGAGCCCAAAAAAGGATGAAACCGGTCGTGGGCTGTCGACGGATTTTCAGCAACCTTATGTGTAGTACATTACAAAGATATACATGTATCGCGGAATCTCGAATATCGTAGCGACTGGAACATGAGGCGGCCTGGTGCAGCACATTCATTTGCCTGAAAACAGGTGAGTCTCTCGAAAAACCGAATCAGTTTGTAAATGAATGTATAGTCGCTAACGTTGGAGGTGTTTATTGCAGTGCAGGCATACATGAATGTGGCCGCCTTTGCCCACTGCATGATAACACAAAGAGTGCACTCTGGACACATCAGAATTGTCCTCATGACCGGTTCTTGGGTCACATGTTTTCTCAAATAGTTTGCATCAGCTACCTCAGTTCACACCTTGCGTTCTGTAATCTGGCTCTACAAAACAGACACAGGGAAAAATTCAACTGACCTGTATCGATCGACCGTGTGGACATCATATAAAACCGTGGTGAGAGTTGCGCGAGGTAACTGTTTGATGCACCAGATCTGAAGAGGAGGAGAGAAATGCAAGTCACGTGAATACTCAATGCATCAATAGAGCGCAGAGAGAAGAACAGCTGTTTGCAGTCGTTTAGCAGAATGATTGGCAAATTGCCTCGAGCGATAGATAAACTTCGGACGACATCGGTCAATTTTTTTGACCGTTTACGTGGCAATTCAGATAACTTATCAATGTAGTTCTCTAATTGTGACCTTACTGTGTATTTGGAAACACTAATGTTGAAGTAGGTGAGGAAAATATAGCTGAAAAGGGATAAACTCTGGTTTGAAATTTGATGGAGGCCAATTCTCACTACTCAGCTCAAAACAGTGCACGATTTGGCTATTCCACATTCGGTTCTTTTTCACAAAATATTCGTATTCGGCTATGAACTATGGATTTACGTAAGTGTGTGGAGTAAAACGACGAACTTGTTGGGCTATCCTAGAGGAAGATAAAAGAAAACTGGCTTGGGCGTTTCGACTGCTTCATCTACGGTGGAAGAAAGCTAGAATATGTATCTGTTTACTGTGGCTTGGTTTTCCGGTGTTGTAAAGTTTGAGCTTATAATGAATGCCCACAGTGCACGCAGACGCAAGTGGAGCATACGCAACTTACTAAAGTCAGAAGTCTGGATTTCCTCCCTGATATCATATAATTAGGGAAACGTAACCCATAATTATTAAGGATTAATAAGCGGATTGTTTAAAACCTATCCTATTTTTTTGGCGAATATACACTCATTTGCAAACTAATTCGGTTTTTCCAGAGACTCACCTGGAACCCAGCTGAATCTCTCGTTTGTGCTGTTCTCAGGCGACTGAATGTGCTACACCACTTCCTGTTTTGTTTCAGTCGCTACGATATTCGAGATATCGGGATACATGTCTATCTTTGTAATGTACTACTCATAAGGTTGCTGACGGATTTTCAGCAACCCTATGAGTAGTACATTAAAAAGATATTCTGTTTTTACCTTGAATGACAATTGTTGGTCCATATTTTGGTCCTGGTGGTACTTTCAGGGCTGCGAAGTAACTTCACTGTTCACTGTTTTGTTGTTGAACACAGCCTTAGTAAAAAGGGAGCAGTTCTTCTCTGCTTTGCGCTCTTTCATCGAGGCTGATTCACAACTGCTACCTATAGCATTTCTATGAAGTTAATGCTTCTCCAGAGTTTTCGTGGCAAGATCTGTAGCTGCATGAGTAGTTTACAAAGTGGTAAAGACTACCGAATTGTTCAGTAGTGTGGGCTTGGCGCGTCCCATTACTCCGTGGTTGTTGGATCACCTCTATGTCTCTCAGCTGTAACACCCTTCCGGTGCCTAGCTGCCATGCCACACGAAGGAAGCACAAGGGCTGGGATACTGCCAGGTTGCCCAAGCCTAGACAGGGGAAGTCGAGAGGCAGATGCCAGGTTCGAACCACGAACCTTTCGGTCAGTAAGTTCGCGCTCTAACCACTTGGGTCATGTCGCCCCACCCCTATATATAACATATAAAAAAAGTATACTGAGTCCAAAAATCTTCATTCCATAGTCGCATTTCGCCGAGTTGTTAAGCATAATGAACTGGTTTAAAACGGAAGCATTCTTAACCATGTTGCAGTTTATTTAATGTTTCGCTCCTATGCCCACCGTTTCTGATGCATATACCTGTTTATCCATCGGTTTGTGTAATGGATGGCACAGACAGGTCGAAATGACTCAGTGGTTAAGGCGTGAAATTGATGAACGCATGCTGCGTGGTTCGAACCCAACCTCAGCACCTTGACTGTCCCTCTCTAGGTTTCTGCAACATGACGGTATGTCAAGGCCGGAGTTCCCTCGAGTGGCATGGTAACTATACCAACATCATTTTTATTACTATTTTTAGCCTGTCCATGAGGTCAAAGCCAACGGCAAGATGCTAGAATCCTGCGCAAACTGCCATGAAACCAAGCCAGCGTGTTCGTAATGGAGTCACGTGCTGTGTCCTTTTTGGTCACAGGATTGGACAAAGGCAGCGCCATAGTTTGTACACGCGTCTGATACGACTCGAGAGTAGATATGGTCGAAAATAGCACAGCAACTAATCAACTGGACTGATAGGGATAAAACCTAGAAATTGAGGACTGGAAATCGTTGAAGGAGAGTCGTTTGCAAGCAGACTAATACCCTATCCACAACAGGACTCGACTAAAAGGATAAACGTAGCAAACGATGCACACGGGCAGTTCAGAGTTCAGAATTCATCAGAGTTGCAGGAGCGTCCGAGAATCATGGCAACACAACGACGAAAATTCGCACATACTGATTTGTGAGACAAGGCAATGGATTTTGAATGGGATAAAGGGGGGAGTAATTAGTCAACATGTGTGTGTTCAAAAAAACCGGCAGTGAATGAAGTGTTACTGGGGCAACTGGCTTGGGAACAGACTGACTTCAGATGTGAATCTTGCCTTCCGAAGGGGATTTAGGTTGATTGATCCATCGGCCAAAACTACTCAAAAACATTGGTTTAAATACTAAATAAGACGTTCCACATCTGATGTAAAGCTCTTCTAGCAGAAACACTTTTGCTGGCAAGGATCTTTCCAATGCGATCCTTAAAGTCGAACGGGGACATTCCGAACTTGCCAATCTACCCTCTATGGTAATTTTCTCCGTTGTCGGCTCCGTTGCGCTCATAGTCTGTCATCTTAAACCGTCCGATATCACTATCAGGATCACGATACGAATGTTACGTTAATGTCCTTTTTCATGTTTGGCTTGGTTTGATCGATAGTTTAGCCGATCTAACTACCGCATTGACTTAGGGACAGTACACAATCATTGATTTCTCGGCGATTGCAATTAAAAGGCTTGTTGACAGACAAACGACAGTCCTTTCACTGGTTAGTGAACATTGTACTATCTGGTACGCGAAAATTAAAAGTAATATTGATCAGAGTCATTTTACATAGTTCTTACACAATCGACTAAATGGGTGCTTGTTATTATGGCTTTCTAGGTAGCGTAAACGGAGTACACCTCTCAAAGCATCTTAGGGGACAGGAATAGGCAACTGACTGATTTTCAGGCACATTGCGTTCATGTTCCAGTTTGTCTCAGACTAATTATGCAAGGTTACTGAATACTGTAAGAATCAAACGGCGTCAAAACCTGTTGAAATTTCTTAGACAACTAAACACTTAGTACTCAGACACAAGGGTGTCGAGTCCACTCGCTTATCGCATTCATAAAATCCCAGCCGTTCCATGTTTTCGCCCAGTTGTTCTGCCTCCTTTTGACGTCTGATTATCCTGTTAGTCTGTCTGCTCCTATTTGAACTGGGAGCCGATCGATAGCAGATCCAAGACTGACAATAATTGAAAAGACTATCTATCTAGAATTATGATCACTCTTGCTGACCTAATCCTGATCCGACCTTTAGGTGAGTGAACACTGCTAATCGGTATTTGCACTGAATTTATTTACTCGAAGATATCGTTACTAACTGGACACAGGGGAAAACAAGCAATCTTTTTGAACGGATATCAAAGTCGGCGTGATTTATTGACTACCATCTACTTCATTTTGTGGTCCATTCTATTTATCGCATCCCTAACAAAAAGATTGGGATGACAGCTGCATAGGGGAATTTCGATTCCCATCCGACTCCTTTATGTAAGGACAGGAAAGATCCCCCAGAAAAGACCCTGAAGGTTGCTAGAACCACTGAAGCAATGGTTGGATTGGAATCACAGTACTATGGGAGATGTGCCCTAAAAACGCGTGCAGCGAATACAGCAGACTACATCGCGAGAAGAAACTTACAGTTACGTAGTATAGTCGAATATTCGGGAGACTAAAAGCTGCAGAATCAGTGTTCACACTAGGGAAAGCCCGAACAGTTACGGACAGATACGGTCTGAACAAGTCATCCACAGTTGGTGCAAACCATTCTAAATCCTCGTTCCAGCATGGTAGACATAGCTGAATTCATCACCAGAAGCAGTAGGACCAAACCACTGTCTTCGTAAATGTGTTTATCGATCGGCTTCCGATTTCCGGCATAACACATTTCGTTCACTGGCAGATGACGAGGTGTGCTGAAGTTGCTTCAACGCAATCTCCCTCTGCGGTTACCCTGAAGGGATAGCAGTTGTTTCTTCGGCTCTTTGGACCACGGTGTACATGTATGGGGTAAAGTTATAGATCAGTCTGTGGTTTTGGGTTCAAATGGAACTTAAGTGAAATGAGTTGCCTCTTTCTGTTGCGTCAGGATGGAGAAGCTTCCCAGCTGTATCACTGCACCACTCGACGGAATACAAACATATTGCCAATTGAGGTTAACTGATTTAACTGGCTGTAGTACTTTTCTCCCCAGTAAATGTTGTCTGAAGACAGCAGACAGGATTAATGACCGGTGAAACCGTACTGCATGAGTTTTTTCTGCCAAAATGATGAAAGTTTTGTTTTGTCCAACTTGTTGAAATAGCTTTAGTGATTACTTCTGTCATAACCAACCTGTTTTATCAAGGTCATTAAACTCGTCTGGTCAAAGTAGAATAAGACTCAAGAACAGGACCATTATACCCATAGAGGAAACTACTCACAAGGTTGCTGAAAACTCTTCGACAGCCCACGACCGGTTTCGCCCTTCTTGGAACTGATCAGGTAGGCGCAGTCTCCGAGTTTCGTCAACCTGATGATCTACTTGAACCCATATTGGACTGTTTTCGAAAGAATGAACTCATTTGCAAATCAATTTGTTTTCACAAAAGACTCAACTGAATCCCTCGTTTATGATGTTATACAACTGAATGTGCTGCACACAGGCCGCCTCATGTTTCAGTTGGTACGATATTCGAGACATCGCAGTATATTTTTATAAAGGAAACTACTCACAAGGTTGCTCAAAACTCTTCGACAGCCCATGACCGGTTTCGCCCATCAGTTGGAGGACATCATAAACGAGAGATTCAATTGAGGCTCCCGTGAAAACCAAACTGATTTGCAAATGAGTGTAT